TCTCACTCTCACTCACACTCACACACACACACACACGCACTCTCACTCTCACACACACACACTCTCTCTCTCTGTATACTGTATACGCACTGCAGACGGAGTATGTGTGAACTTGGCGCAACAAATCTAGTTCAACATCTGAGGAAACGCCACAAAGAGCTCTATGACCAATGCATGGAGAAAAAAAAAAAAAATCCCTGGACACAGGATTTTTCTTTTCTTTTTCTGCCATATGTGTCTATTCTAGAGACATTTTGTTACACCTTTACTTTGATTATTTTGCCTTATGTCTGTTCTAGAGACATGTTACAGCTTCTTTTGGAAATATGTTTCAAATTCACACTGAATGCATTTATGACTAAAGCATGTATGTGTGTGTCAAAATTGTGATTAAAATCGAAATCGCAAAATTGATCAAAGAAATCGCGATAGGTTTTTTTTGTCCATATCGCACAGCCCTACTTTAAATCTACTAGCAGTACTTTTGATTTGCAGGTTATGGATTTAGGAAAATATTTGATTTGATTGATTTTAATTAAAAAAAGTTAATGCACCTTAATGGTGAAATTATTGTTGGACAGTTTCTCATATTCTTTATTAATCATTCTACCCAGAAGACACGCAAGCTCAGTACTGGAGGGGTGTTCGGTGAGGTCCGATGATGTTGTCCATCTGGCTTTGGGGAGCATGTGAATGGCATGAAGGTTACTGCAGTGCACACTTAGCGCTGGGAGTAACCCTGACATGAGCGTATGAATGCCGTTTCACACAGCACTCCCTCATCCACCCTGCTCTCTGCTTTATTTCACAGTCACATTCTGCACATCCCACACAGAGCTTGGAGTCCATACTTTTAGCAGTTTATGGGAAACGATTTTGCCAAATTACATCTACACCGCAGTCAGATAATCGCATGGAAGAAGTAGTTGACTACACTGCAAACATTTGCTAAGAAATAGCGTAATAGCATAATCTACATTGAGACTAATTTTGAGGGGTGTGTATGATGTGTGCAATGAGAATGTGGAACGTCTCTGCTGTTTTTTCATCGATAGTCTGCATAGACCGGAATCAGACATATTTAAAAGGGGTCATGAATTGAGAAATCAACTTTTACTTGAGCTTTTGATATATAAGAGATCATCGTACTAAAAGAATAGCCTATTACTTATTGATTTTGATGTTTTTGAATGTAAAAAGCACGCGAATGTCATAAGTGGACCTCAGACAACAGTAAAATCATTTTAAAAAAGCCAGTTCATTACCCCTTTAATGTTAGGCTGTTGAATCTTGTCTCACTGTACTGAAAATGGTAACATGTATATTATTTGGTTTTGTTCAAGTCAAAATATTATTTAATATCACTGAATATAACTAAATCAATAGATTTATATCAACAAAACAAGATTTATGCATTAAAAAAATAGGTAGAAATACTGTGTGTTTTTGTGGTTTGAGCATTGCATTTCTAAGATGTTGAGTACTTGGAACAAAGTTAGACATTTATAGACATTCCTACTTAAGGAGGCAGTAGCTTTTTAATTATATTGGATACAAT